CTACCGTGTCCTTGGGTCTGTGATATTGTCGACAGTGCTGGTCATATGTGTGGATGTGTCTTCAAAACGCGGAGGGCCCTACTGGCTCATCAACGGTTCTCTCGGGCAGGTGGGCATTCGTATCGGTCTATTGTACATTCGATAACTGTGACGAATTCGTGCATTTACTGCCAACAAACGTTCAGAACTCGAAGGATCGCCCAGGAACATACGTTGCACGCCGTCCTCAACAGGAAGTGCCCGCTAGTCACCGTATATCAGCACCCTCTGGAGGCCCCCATGTCCCTGCAGTGCCCTCTGTCCATCATTACGACGGCGTCCATCCGCGGTGGCCATGACGCAGCTTACTATTGCTCAAGGGACGAGCCCTTTGAGTCCTTTGAGGAGCTGCGACGACACCTCGCCACCCACGTCCCAGCCCCGTGCACGGCCGATGTTCAGGCTTACCGCAGAGCACCTCGAGGGAGCGGCCAGGTCACGCTCCGAGGGTCGCGGCGGACCAGGGGTACAGCGGGCGCGAGGGCGTGGCCGCAGTGGGTCGCAAGCGTATTCCCGTCCGCGTGGAGGCCGTCCAGGACGCCGAGACTCGCAGCCCCCACCGGCACGACCGCAGCCACCACAGGCGGCGGCGGCGGCACCAGCGGACGCAGGGCGCGTTCAGGGAGGCCGCCCGCGGGACAACGTGCGCGACGATCTAGGCAAGCTCTACGGACTGGACCCTTCGACACTCGACCGTCTTCCACAGATGGATGCCCAGCTTATCGCCAAGTTGATGCCTGTCCTCGTCCGTGCAGTTCTCGGGAACACGTTCCAGCTTCGCCAGATCATGGCCGCAGAGTTCCAGACGTTCACGATGAGCGACGACGCCCCAGTGATTCGAGCCGCCTTCCAGGCGGGCAAAGCATATGCTCAGACAGCCGCTACTCTCAGAGAAAAGCACCAGGCCGACCCGCAGACGAACCCGACTCCCGAGGCGGTGATGGGCCCCGCCTGTGCGCAGATCTTTCTGATCGTATGTGCCGAGATCTCCAAGGAGGGCGACAAGGTGGGGGCCAAGAATCGAGCGAGCTGGGAGAACCACAAGGCGCGCCTAGATGCGATCACCGACCAGGAGGAGCTCACGATGTTAGTACGAGGGTTTCGGGTCAGTTCAGCTTACCGCGAGGGCACAGCCAAGCTCGTGATCTCGCTCGGCGACCCGCAGCTCCAGAAGTGCTTCACCGCCTGCCTCGAACAACTCGGGGCCGAACACAAGGTGGGGATGGCACCACGCAGCCACAACGAACGCGTGATGCAGCTGGCGCTCGACGAGTTCGAGCGGAGGTAACGCTTCCTCCCAACGCCAGCCCCCGACGCCAGCCACCAACTAATGCAGGATGTCGGATCCCCAGCGAGTCTGGATATCGGTCATCCGTAGGGATTGATCAAACTACCACCACTGGGACTGATCTGAGAGACTCTGGGGTGATGTCGAGTGCAGTATATGATACTGGGATGCTGACTTCTGGCTCGGTGGTGGTGGACCTCTCCTTTGCAACAGTGGGTGCTGTTCTCTCTCACGACTCGACGTTGGCTGCGAGTGGTATGGCAGCTGAGTTTCGAGATGGCGACAGAGTTCCGACTGCTGGTGGCGCTATGCGTGACATGCATGTGAATCTGAGAGAGTCGGCTGCGAGTGGTACGGCAGCTGGGTCCAGTGGGAAGCTTGAGAACGGCGCAGACAGGCAGACTGGGATTGTCTCTTGTCGGAGCTCCTCGTTGCCGACTTCAGCCTCCCGAGGTGAGGCGCCACAAGCTGTTGTTCGTCATCCCAGGACGAGGTCTTCACAGGTCAGGCTCCCTGCTTCCTCTGATGCCCCTGCCCTCCCCTCTAGACAGCAGTTCAAAGACCTTGTCAGGATGTTCACGCGATGATGGCCCGAAGAGGCCCAGTTTTGTTTTTTCGAAGCTTACTCTGGGATTTAAGTTGAGGTAGAGCGATTTCACCTCGGGGCTCCCGCCGTGGGGGCTGCTTTCTCGCTGTAAAGCGCACGGTTGGTCGCCAGATTCCGAAGTTTCTCGGAAGTCTGGGCAGTTTGAGACTCGAACTCTCGGCCCTTCACCGTTCCGCCGCCGCCGCCGCCGCCGCCTCCTCCTCCTCCTCCTCCTCCTCCTCCTCCTCCTCCTCCTCCTCCTCCTCCTCCTCCTCCTCCTCCTCCTCCTCCTCCTCCTCCTCCTCCTCCTCCTCCTCCTCCTCCTCCTCCTCCTCCTCCTCCTCCTCCTCCTCCTCCTCCTCCTCCTCCTCCCTCCTCCTACTCCTCCTCCTCCTTCCCCGGGCGGCACCGCCGCGCCTCTCGTCGAGCCCCCCCCGCGTGGAAGGCCCGTCACGCTCGGCGCCTGCGCGGCCACACAACTCCCCGACAGCCCTCGGTCCGCGGGTGGCTTCCTGCGCGGAGAGCCGAGCGCGCCGGCGCCTCTCGCGGCGCGGTCAGGGCGAGCTGCCCTCGGCGACTCTGCCCTCGTCGGCAGGCCGGGCGGCGCCGCCCGACGCCGGCGGGCTGGCATCCCAGAAGATGTCTTGGGAGCACACGCTGGCGCGCGATGTGCGCGGGGCCATCACCCCTCTGCCGGCCTCGAGCTGCCTCGCGGCCCCACCGGCGGCGTCTCTGTTGCCGAAGTCCTCCTGCTCTTGCCCTCGCCCCGGCCCGCGTCTACCCAGACGTCGCGGAGCTGCTGGGCCACCCGCTCCAGCCGCGCGAGCAAGTCCGCCTTCTTCGTCGGCCACCGGCGCGCAGCGGGCGCAGCGGGCGCAGCGGGCGCGGCCGCCGTCGAGAACTCCCTCTCCGCGCGCAGGAGATCACGCCGCCCCCCCGGCAAAACAGGAACGACCGCCCGCGCCTCATCGGCAGGCGCCGCTTCGACGACGCGCTCGCCCCCTCGCACGGCGCGCATCTGGCGCCGGAGCCCGCCGATCTGCTTCGCGATGTTCGCGCGAGCTGTGCTCTCGCCCTGGCGGCCCTCGCAGACCCCGGACGCGGCCTGCTCTCGCGCGGCCGCCGCCCGCGGGGGGCGCGGCGGGGCCTCCCGGCGCTGGCGCGACGCGACGAAACGGACGCGGGAACTGCCGCAGGGGCACCTGCGAAGGGGCGGGAAGCTCTGGCGCAATGCTCGCCGCCGCGGCGGAGCTCGCAAGCCGGGGCCGATTTGTTTGGCTGTTTTTTTCAATTTTTTCCACCGCAACGCACCGCAACGCTCGCAAGCTGGGGCCGAGGCCGAGGAGCAGCGGCGGCGTCAGCGGCCGCGGCCTCCAGGGGGATCTCGAGCCGCACGCCGACTGCACCGCGCCGGTCGCCGCGCGCGGTCGCCAGGGGAAGCCCGCGCCCACTGGCGCCGGAACTCTCGCGAACAGTGCCCCGCCCGCAGACGATGCCCGCGCCCCTGGGGCGCGCCTGCATGGATACCGCCAGAGCCAACGGCTCTGCGGGCCGCGCGGGCGCGCGCGCGCGCGCTGCGTGCGCGAGACTTCCGTCGCTGAGTTCGCCCGCGACGACGCGGGCGGCCGGCAGGCGACTGGCACCTTGCACGACCCATAGGACGTCCATGGCCTCTTCGAAGAGGGCCAGCCGCTGCAGCTTGGCGGGGCACGACGCGCGCCCGCGCGGGGGGCGCAGATCGCCGACGCCCGGCCCCGCGGCGGCAGGCTGAGCGGCGCCGCCAAACAGGCCGCGGGGAGGCTCGGAGCCACCCACGTTTTGTCCGCCCGCCCCGCCGTGGAGCACTCGGCAATGCCAAATCTTCGCCCGCGCGCAAAGCGGGGCGGCGGGCAGCCGGGCGCCGCGCGGGCGAGCGCGCGGCGGGGCGGGGGCGCCGGGCGCGCGAGCTCCTCGGAGGCCGCGGGACGCACGCACCCTCGCGACAGCCGCCCCTCTCGACGAGGCAGACGATAGCCGCGTCGCCATGGCGGCACAGGCGCTGGACGCACGCGGCGGCCCTGCTCGGATGGCACCTCTTCCCCAACAGCTCCCCGGCAGGTCCAGCGCTGAAGGGGGCGAGTGCGATTGGCTCGTAGCCGGACTCGGCCATCGGAGCAGGCCAAGAGGCACCGCCCGCGGCGACGGCCAGCCCGCGGCGCTGGCGCGCGCGACCGGCGGTCTCGAAAGCCCCGGCAATCGCGGCTGCGATGAGCCGCTGTCGACGCTGCCCCACTGCGGGTTCGCCTCGTCCACAAGGCTCTGCGCAGCCCCTGCACGCCGACCGCGCCTTCCGCTGCCTTTCCCACCTACAAGGGCCTGGCGGCTGTTACCTCGGTTTTACGTGGCCAGTGCACGACTTGGCGATTGTGCCGCCACCTCGCTGGTGAAGAAGCATACCCTATGACGTACCCAACACACATCTGCGAGCAGCACGAGGAGATGGTTCAGATTGTAGCGCCGATGAAGACACTGGGTCTGTCATTGCTTGCGCAGGCTGCATCGTAAGCGCGCGCGTTGCACGATTCACAGGATAGCAACAGCAAGACGAAGACTTCGCGACTGCGCCCTGGTGGAGGAGGAGGAAAAAAAGGAGGAGGAGGAGGAGGAGGAGGAGGGATCGCCTAAGCCCTTCGGAGAAGCCCTCCAACCCACAGGACAGCAACAGAAAGACGAGGATTTCCCGATTGCACCCTGGCGGAGGAAACAGCCCAAAGCGTTGGAGGCCTGGCACGCCCTCCCTGGGACGCACAGAGACATACTAATACTATGTGTGCTCCTTGGAGGCGCGCGTCCGACCCGAACACATAGTATACCCATCTGGTAGTATTAACGTTTCCCCAGCGGTGTGGCCAGAAAGCGCCCGCCAAAACGCGTGTACTAGAAGACTTCCCGGTGCGCGCACCTCCCCACGGGGGGCGACGCACACATAGCATGAGCATGTTGGGGTGACGCCGACTCCCTGCGTGGACGGCCTCGGCCGCGCGGCGCTGCGGCGGTGTCGGCTCGCCGGGTGCCGCCCCCCGCCCCCGCTGGGCGCGCGCGGCGGTCCGGCGCCAACTCCTCGTATTCATCCCCGAACCGCCTGTAATATGTGGGCAGCTCCTCGCGGAGGGACGTGAAGAGGAGGACGAGGAGGAGGAGGAGGAGGAGGAGGAGGAGGAGGAACGCCCCCCTTAGGGTTGTGATGCCAGCCCCTTTTGCAGCGCCCGCTCCCGCCAGAGATGCTTTGCTGCTGGGGCGGAAAGAGGGCGGAGGCGAGGGCTTCAGGCGTTGGGCAAGACAGTCCGCAGTCATGAGAAGGCGGAGGATCAGCATAAATCCAAGGCAGATCTACGATGTTGCAAGAAACCCTCCCTCCAAGTTCCCCCCCTTTGACAGGTCCCCAAAAGAATGTATTCCATTGCGGGAGACGACCCATTAGAAGACAACCACCTCAGAATCCTCAATCGTGCCAAACCAATGCGCTTGGGACTTCAAAACCGCGATTGAAAATGATTGCTGCGCCCTGGCAATCCAAGATCGTGCTACAACACCAGTCCTGGGACTTCGGCAATACGAACCCTTGAAACTGTTGCAAAGTGTTGGAACGAATGTGCACGGCGCCAAAACGAGAACCACGTTTTAAAAACCCTCCGCCCTTCATCCGCGAAACTGCTTCAAGTTGTCCAGAAGACGAATGTGCGCTGCCAAAGCAAGAGCCACGTTTTGAAACTGCTGCCAGCTGTTCAGAAGGCGAGTGTGCGCGGCGCTAAGGCGAGGGCGACATGTTGAAACCAGCCCGCCCCAACATTCGCGAAACAGTTGCAAGCTTCCAGAACAAAAGTGCGCGGCACGATAGCGAGAGCCACATGCTGAAAGCCACCCGGCCTCCATTCGTGAAAAAAATGCCAGTTGTAACGACGGATTGCAAAAAAAACCTGGCAATCCTTTTTGCAATCCTTTTTGCCATCCTTTCTGCAATCCTTGGTTGTTTTTGCAATCCTTCATGCTGAAAGCCACCCGCCCTCAATTCGTGAAAAAAATGCAGGTTGTAAACACAAATGCGCGCGGCACGATAGCGAGAGCCAGATGCTGACAGCCACCCGCCCTCCGTCCGCGAAACCGCTGCACACCTCAAGCTTCGGGATCATCCGTGGCGAGGAAGCCTCAGGCGACACGCCCAGTCTGCCCTACCGACACGCCTGGGGACACGACGGGGAGGGACCGCTGATGCAAAGAGAGGGAGCGGAGGAAGACGAGGGAGGCGGAGGAGGAGGGAGGCGGAGGAGCAGGAGAGGGATTTCACATCCACGCGAATGCAGCCCACGTGCACCCCCAGAGGTGGGCGAGCCTTCTGGGGGGCGACAACGAGCTCCACAGCTGCAGTGTAGCCGAATCAAAAGAGGAGCCACGACGGCTCGCGCATCACCGCAATGAGACAGCACGAGGGGGAGGAGGGAAGCAGAGGGAGATAAGGAGGAAGGGGGGGAGGAAAGGGGAGGAGGGGGAGGGGGAGGAATAGGGAAGCAGAGGGGGAGAAGGAGGAGGAGGAGGAGGAAGAGGAGGAAGAGGAGGAGGAGGAGGAGGAGGAGGAGGAGGAGGAGGAGGAGGGGGAGGAGGAGGAGGAGGAGGAGGAGGAGGAGGAGGAGGAGGGGGGGTAGGGGACAGTCAACGCCGGACGAGGGGGAGGTGACTGGCGCCTCGCCTCGCTGGGCGCCAGGAGCTCGCGCACCGGCGGGCGCACCGCACAAAGCCGTGGAGAGGCTCACCCCCGCCGCCCGGGGCCAGGTGCTCAAACGCGCAGTCAAAAAAGGTCCCCGAGGGAGAGCGCCGCTTGGAGGCAGAACGGGGGAGCGACGAGAGGCAGACTCCACCCACTACGCCTATCGGCCTAAGAGTCTCAGGGGTCCAAGGGCAAAACGGGGGAGCGACAAGAGGCAGACTCCACCCACCCCGCCGATCGGCCTAAAAGTCTCAGCCTGAGGTCCACCATGCCTCTCCGGGGCTGAAAAGAGTGCACTTGGATCCTGATTGCTAAGTGCGATGGCCCTCCTAAGAGTCTCAGGGGTCCACCATGCCTATCCGGGGCCGAAAAGAGAGTGTGCTTGGATCCTGACTGCTAAGGGCGATGGCCCTCCTCCTTCCTCCGATCGCGATGAGCAACTTCGGACATGTGTCGAGCACTGGTACCTGGCGCTAACGCCATGAATCGTTCAGACCTTCACCAGGCGTCCCTCCCGCCCAGGAAATCGATTGGTATACTTCCGCGGGAGTCCGTGTAACGACCTATCAGCTCGGTTCCATCTCGAACTTGCCCTCTTGGCTGGGAGATCACATAGCATGTCATGGCTCACACGGGCACATCCTCTGCACATGCACGCACGCAGAAATATGGGCGCATCCGCCAACCGCATGGGTACACATGTGCACAGAGGGGTCGGGCCTTCTTTGCGTCTGGCCTGTAAGATTGGAGCCTACAGTGTCTACCAATATCCGAATAGTTGATGGCACGATGATACCGAATGCCAATGTGATAAACTGCGACAGTGAGGAGAGACCGCGAGAGATA